CTATTTTGTCCCTCTGACCAAGAGCTGATCAACACAATTTGGATATGGTTCAGATGTCCTTCCATGGTTAGAGGTTTGGTCCTAAGGTGATAGTACTGAGAAGTGATAGGATCTTTAATGGGTGAGGCCTACTGAAAAGTATTTATGTCTTATTGGAGTCTTGCGATGATTTGGTGTACTTCACAAGAGGGTAGTTATAAAAAGAGAAACTTTGGCCCTTTCTTCTCTTTTTATATTTCCTTTGTACATTCTCCACCATTCGTCATCTGCCATGAGATCCTTTAGCCTCTAGAACTGAGCTATTTTCTTTGTAAGTAAGTAACTATCCTCAGGTCTTTCAATACAATGGAAAAAACTGACTATACAGTCTTCAAGAAAAGATAAACAGAGGCTAGGAAACAGGGAACCTAGGTAAGGTTATTTAAGTAAGATCAGTCTTAGACCGTCACAATAGTTATCTGAGCTGCTATACTGGGGCAAAGGGCAGAATTATAGGATAGGGTGGAGAAAAATCTGCAAAATATAAGCCCTGAGGCTTGGAATTTGTTAACTTTTGTTTATTTTTTTGCACCCAATGACTTTATTTTCAGTTGTTTTCCTTTAACACATGTGAGAAAGGCTGGAGTTTTCTGAAAGACTACCAATTATTAAAGGGTCACAGAATCTAAAGGAATTCTGAGCATTTCTGGGAGCCAGAGCGATGACTGTAGTGATACCTGAAGTAACACACTTACATGAATGGTAAATTCAGAGTGTCAGGTATAGGGTCTCTTGGCTGTGCTTTCATTCCCTTCTGGAAATTCCTCCGATGTTAAACCTTGGGATTTCTGGATTTGGCTTTGGTGAGTGAAATATCTTGCCTATTTGGAAGTTCTAGCCTTGAATCAACTCATTCGAGTCTCTGTTCTCGTCTCTTCACATGAAGCACTAACATGTTTTACTACTTGCAAACCAGAAGGTAGAGACTTGAATTCTTGGTGTTTCCATGGATAAATTATGTGCTTTGTTCTTTCAAAAGCTTTTCTATGAGAGAGACCACAGGATTTGCTTATAAGTTATATCCCCTCATCCACTCCCACTTCAATACCCATATGAAGAGCACGTGAGAAGTTTTCAATGAAGACCTTAGCTTATGATAGCCACTGTAAATCACAAATACCTACCATGTAAGCAATATCTCCTACCTTGACCTGCTACAATTAGGTAATAATAATATAAGAGCTTGGAAGTTCTTTGAACAAATATTTTTATTTAGTATACATATATATTCTAATCTACTCCCACTTCCCATACTCCCACCCCCCCACAACACACACACACTCTTCACAACTTGTGTTCCCTCCCCTCCCTAACCCAGAATTCACAATCAAACACTGAATTATGGTACAGAGGGATAGGGATACAGTGGAGTATATTTAAAGTAACAGTAATAAATCAGTAAGTAACACAAGTGTTACAAGCGTCCCTGCTTGGAACCCAAACTAATGTCCATTTCCCTTTTATAACTCAGTGAGACTTTTTTCATTCCTCTTTGTTAAGATGTCTCATTGTAATTTATCAATATCTCCAAGGGAGCTTTACCTGCTATATCTTTTAAATAAAGCAACTGTGAGAATTTGGCAGTCTCACAGTCTTTCCCTGGGAGTCTTCAGTTCCATACAGCCCACATAAACACTAGGTTTGAACCAAGTAGTGTATGATATGCCTGTACACTTATGCCTAGTATACTGTTCATAATTCCACAGATCTTGTGAGCAAGGACAGAGTGGCCACAAAAACTGAAAAGCTGAAAGTCATTACACTGTCATCAAGTACAGTTGCATTGCATGGGGTTCAGGGACTATGGGACATTGCTCAGGCAGATACTTGATTAGGAAATGAACTTCACTAACTACCTTACAAAGTACAAGGGGTCACATTTTTATTTGGGAGAATATTTTAAATTGTTTTTCATTTAAACTTTACCTTATCAAGGGACTTTTTCACACCAAATTTTTCCACATGAGTACTAAGTTGTATGTACAAAGGGACTGACAAACAGTCTTTTCCCTAAAATTACAAATAGAGTGTTTGGCCAACTGTTAATGAAACTTGCCACCACATTTTGACCAATATTCTGAGTGGGAAACCCTATAGATCAGAGGTCTCAAGGACCAGCTGGATCTGTATCTCTCTTCTAGACACCAAGATCATCACAGATTCTCAAACTGATGAAAACTATTTTCAACAAGATCTTATTGATACAGGAATGATATAGTAGATGAAATAGGATCTACAAATTATATAAGGGAAATGTTATCATTCTCAACCTATTAGATGTCTGATATGCTTAGTTCCTGTTCTCTAAAATTGAAGAATGTATTCTAAGAACAATGGAGAAACAATTGTTGATTGAGAGGATAGCTCCTGAGAGGATGGAAAGATCCTGCATGGGTAGGTGAGGGCTCCATTTCTCAACTTTTATAGAGCAAAATCACACAAGAACAACATGGATTACAGCTATGATCAACCAATAAGATTATAAGTATAGTCACTTAGGTAACATTGAACCAAGTCACATAGCAAGTGTACACGGAAGGAATAAAGAACTTTTCAGGAAGGGTTGAGTCCAAGGGACTTGGTCACCCACTAAGGCGACAAATGTCCACTAGCATTAGGCTAGGAGTTACCACTTATCTTAGGCCTTGTCATTTCATCTTTATCTTGAGGCCTGACCTCAAACAGATGTGCCTCTGGTCACAGTGTAATTTGTTCTTACCTTTGCCCTGACTCTCTCAAGGGTCTAGCCCTGTCTGACTGCCTATAATATTTCTGCCTAGCCTCGCTGTCTATAATATTATAAAAGAATAGCAAGATTTACTTTGAATTGTAAATTCTAATACTACATTTAAACTAGTCTTATTATCATACATATATTTACTTAAATCTAAATATGGGTATTTCCTTTGGGGTCTGCATATATTATGTCAGGAAATTTTCACCAAACTAATATCTACATTGTTTCTTTCATGATTAGTATACATATATAACCATCCAGATAAAGTTAGTCTTTCCTGCAGCAACAACTTTACCTTAGAATGTAAAAAGGTAACCCTCAAAGCGATATGTAGAACAACATATTTTGAGTGCTTTGCTTTTTAAGAGAACATCCCCTTCAACAGCACATTTGAAAGTGAAATCCATAGTCCTATCCAGATTCCCCAAAAGTCTTTAGTCTTTCACTATGGGGTAAAGTACTGGTAACAAGCATTTTGAGAAACACCAAAAGATCTTACTTTGAGAATTACAAAATCACATCACTTATAGGTTATTTACATTAATAGTATAAGGGAAAAGATTTTGAAGTAGACACATACAAAACTGTGAACAAGATTATCAGAATAAACAAATTCATTCCTACTCATATACTGTCTACAATGGTCCATCTCCTTTATGTGGTGCAGAGGACAACAGAGTGTCTGTCAGTGAGACTTTGCCTCAGAGTCCAGAGATGTTGACGGACTTCAACAATGACAGAGTAACAAATGGATGTTCACATATGTAACCATAGTTTCAGGTAGGTACTTGAGATACTGACGAATGTACTTCTCCTGGTGGAAAACTACCTATTAAACCATTTAATGAAAAACAAGCATATCCAACTTTAGAAAATGCCTCACAAGATAGGCAAAGCTATTTTAGTTCTCTGTTCTCTCTACATGTACAAATGAAGGACCAAGTACAAGCGTCGAAGCTTTTATGAATGCTTACTGCCTACCAACTACATGCGCAATATTTTTTAAAAGATCATTTAACATTATTTTTTCTAGCATTAGACAGCAAGGTCCCCCTTCTCTTATTAAAGCTTTATATATTCCTTTCTACAGATTTGTGTAATTAATTGTGCATGAATGTGTTTATGTTCTGTACATGCTACTCCTCTAAGTTTCTTTTTATATGTGTTTAAACATAAACACCATGTTATGATGACAGAAGTGTGAGTAGTACAACAGATTTTAATAAGACAGTGTCAATGACTGTAACAATGTACAAAGCAGTCTTCTAATCACCTACAAAAATAATAAAAATTATGAAAAGTTCACAGAATTTGCTCATTCAAATAGATAATCAATTGAAGAATGGTGATTAGAAAAAATTAAATTGGAGATAAGCATTATAAATGAAAATCTAGTATGTTTTAAAACATAACCTGTGTATGTGCATTTTTGTATGTGTGTACATTTATGTTTGTATATTTATGTGGGCATTTACATGTTTGTACACATGTGCTATGTACAGGTATGTGTGTTGGTATATTTATGTGTGTTTGTGTATATGTATAAGTGTATGTGAATATGTATCTTAACGTTAGTGTTCTAATTCCTACTGGTCCTGTCACCAAGAGGGATCAGACTAGCCAAAGCTAAACTCTAGTACTGAGCTCTTGGACATTGTCTCATGCCCTTTGAGAGGAAGCAGAGGCACACATTCACTCTAAGCCAATGACAACACTATCTCGAAATTGCTAGAGTCAGTAATATGGCAAAGTAACTACAAAGTTTACAGCAAATACAGAAGCAAAAGTCTAAAGCCACTCAGCCAGACCTGGGACTATTAACAATCTCCAGGATTATCCAATGATAATAGAAATCTGTTGTTATTGTTTTTAACTCTTTTATACTTTCTACTGGGGCAGGAAGAGAAATAAACAATAGCTAAAATAACACAGAATAGGAAGAGTTTGAGAAAACATGAATGGCTGGAAAACAAACAGATCTGATCTGGGTATAATTCCTTCAAAGGGAATTGGGTTATATTCTTGGGATCACTTTGTGGTGAAACTCCTACTCAGTTGATACAGAGGGTGTGAAATTTAAAAAGAAACGAGCAGAATGAGGAAGAGGGAGACAGAAGAGGAAGAAGAAGAGACAAGGAGGAGCAAATTGGAGAGGAGATAGGAGGAAAGATAGGGAAAAGGAAGGGGAATGAAAGAAAATAAGGGAAGAAGACTGTGAGTGGGAAGGAAAACAGAAAATAAGATATGAAAAGGACAAAGGAAAGCAGGAGATGAAAGATGGGAAGGCAGGTAATGAGGTATTTAGAGGAGGAGGAAGAAGAGAGGATAAGGAGAGGGAGAAGAAAAGAAGAGAACAATATTGTCTCCTGAATAAAAGTAGTGGCAAGAGAAGGACACGATATTACTTCCTCCTCATCTCTCCTCCTAGGTTGGAAAGTTTATAGGCTAAAAAGATAAAAATAATTAAAACAACAACACATTCCATTTTCTCTTTTCTCAAAAAAAAGGAAAAATTAAATAGCATACATTTACACGAAACAAGGTGTGATGCTAAATGTACAGCAGAAGCAGAAATTTTTGGAGTGCTAATTTGGGCACTTCAGTTTTCATTACATACAGAAGGAAGCAGTCATCAAATTAGTGTATAACAACCTGGGAAAATAACCCAGGGGATCTGGGTTAAACCATTTAGCGGGCTTGTCTTTTCTTACACTTACAAGGTGCTTCAAGTTTCCATAGCTTCTGAAAGAATTGCAAAAACTACACTTTTCTCTCCTAGCAATTTGCTAGAAATATGATAAGGAGATTAGCATGTTATTCACTTAAATAAAATCCACTTAATAATTGCTAGGCATTTTTACAGCTCCCAAGGCAATGTCAGTAATCAGAGAACAAGAGCCATGGCCTGGTGGTACACAAGAATGAAAAGTGGCATTGGTAAACAGAAACAGATGCAGTTCAGGAAGCCTCAAATCAGAGTGAAATTTTCCTTTCAGCAGTACAGAAACATCTGATACATCTGGATATCTAATATCTTCAGTGTACTTGGTGTTGAAAATAAAAGTAGGAAAGGGGAATATGAAAGAAGACAGGGAAATAATGAAACAGCTAATGAGACACGGTGGTTCACATGGCCCCTACCACTCAAGTACCGGACCCTCCCCCATGAGAAATTAATGAATTCTAGTCAGTTTAGTCCTATCCTATCTCAGGTATTTTTGAGGATAGAAAATGATCGCGGTCTGGGCAGCTTAAACTCTAGGCATTGGAGGGTAAAGAAAGGAGATTTCCACTGCTGGGGAGGGAGGGGGACTGGGTAGCTCATCAAAATCTTTGAATCTGGGGAATTTGGGTACACCAGGATTAGGATCAACCCAGGCAGGACGGTAAGTAGGTGAGGCATTCCTTAGTTGGTGGTGCTCCCCTCTCAGGCGGCTGATTCTGTATAGCAGCATCCTTCGGACTTCCACGATGACCTTCTGAACTTCAATACGGAAACTGTCGCTGAGCCAGCAGTAAATGTAGGGGTTGTAGCAGGAGCTGCTAATTGCCAGCCAGTGAAAGAAAAAATAGAGACCATTATGGCTTGAAATTGACTCACTGGATAGCAACAGCAGGTAGAGGTTGAGGGGCAGCCAGCTGACTACGTAGACAACCACCACTGTTATCAGCATCTTCAGGGTCTGCTTCTTCTTCCCACGCTGGCAGATGTAAGTGTGGATGTTGATGTCATCAACAGCATTGTGGTACCACAGCTTCTTCGCCACATGACCGTAGACGACCACCAGTACCATCAGTGGCAAGATGAAGAAGAGCAAAAAGGTGCTCAGGTCAAGGTATTTCCACATGGATTTTGAAGTATATGGGTAACTTGGGAGGCAGGCAGTTTCTTTCGTAATGTTTCTAGATTATAAAACAAAGAAAAGAAAATATCAATTTTTCCCTTTTACTTAAGACCCACAGCCTGCTCTTGCATGGCAGTTAGGCCCTAAGGAAAGTCATATTTACTGTTTGTGTCTGCATTGAGCCTAAAGCCGAGGGAACTCTGGATTTTACCTGACGCAGAATTTTCAGGCGACATATGTGAAAAATCATGACCCCTCCCAAACTTAGGAAAAGATATTCCTAATATCCATTGCCATGAGAGTGTAATATTTATGATAAATTTCAATTAACAAATTTATTTTTTGTACTCATGCTTTGAAAGGTGTTACTCAAACCATGACTTATTTCATGCAGCCTCCAAGATTCTGGTTTGCTGGAATTCCAACACTGGTCATCCTGTGTTCCTCTTACCCAATTTTCACCTGGTAAAGCTTCTGATAAATGGCATGTGGCAAAGCAGCACAGGTGCTCACAATCCAAATGATAATGATGCAAACATTGCCTTGCATCAGAGTAATATGGGACTTTAGGGGATATAGCATCACCTGAAAGTAAAGAGACCACAGCTGAGTTAAACAATTCCAATTAGGGTTAGTTTGAAATCATTCATCAAATGACTTTCTGGTGCAAAGGTACAAAGACTTCATAGGTTTGTAGATAACACGCTTTGTGGAATTTTGAGTACTTTTTATTCAGTTGACAATATGTGGCATTTTGCTCCATGAAAGAGTAACATAGCCAGTGTTGATAAGAAGCCAGGAATCTACACTTAATAACTTCAAAGCTCATGTCCTGAATAAGGAGTTCTAGGAAGAATGTGGATGTTCAAATGTATGACTTATTTTTGTTTTATGTTATGTGGATGGGTAAGCCCTCCACATAGGCCTTCATCCCTCTCCCCACTGGCTTCCTTCATACCCTTTCCTTTTTCCTCCTTCCCTTCATCCTTCCTTGTCTCTTCCTATCTCCTTCCTTCTCTTATCACCTAGATCCCTCTCTTGTCCTTCTCACCTGGCCTCAGCCTCTTCAGGCCTCTTCAGTTTTTCTTTTTGTGCCTCCCACATCACTCATTTTCTGGCTCTCTCACAGCTGATTAATATGTAACCCCTCTCAGCTTCTTATGACCTAAACCACTTCCTTTTAGTCACTTGCAATCTTTTCACCAGCTCTGTGCTCATCACTTCATCCCCTCCTACTTCAACTCCTCAACCCTCCCCCGAAGTCTTTACACCCACCTCCCAGACTCAACCCACCATCAACCCTGAAGCCACACCCATCTCTGACTCATTTCTTCCCTTTTTTCTCTTAGCCAGTTCTGCAATGCAGCAAATAAGAAATGTTTTCCAAAGAAGAAGGGAAGCACTCTTTATTATTTGTTCATTGCCACATCTCTGTTCCCACAGTGCCATATGAAATTGGTAGCAGTTTCATTATGCAAAATTTGATTTGGTGAAAACCTGTACTTCATTATCTTGCAAAACTCCCCTAAACTATACATATGCATTCTCATACAATGTCTCAAGAAATAAAGAAATTTTGACATTTTGTATGATAGTACCTGTTTGTGTTTACGTAAAATAAAAATACATTGCTCTATAAGAACTGGAAAGCACATACCCGACGTCGGTCCAAGGAAATAGCAGCCATGGTCATCACAGTTACATAGGCACAAGAGTACTGGGCAAAGCAACTGAGGTGGCATGTCATCTTCCCAAACACCAAGGAATTACAAAGATAGCGCACCTGTGGTAGAGAAGGCTCAGATGAGGTGTAAGGACTAAACCCTGGATCTACTGTTCTCACAAATCCCAAAGCACAAGTAAACCCTCCTTGATTCACTAAACTGCTAGCATTATTGTCTCAAAAAGCAAACATTTCTGTACTGCAGTTCTCATCCTCTTCCCACCTTCTCCCACACAAACAGTCCAGCTTTAAGACAAGGAGGGACACCAAATCACAAAAGATGTTAATCACTTTCAAGTCCAAGCAATGCCTTTTGAACGGTGGGGAAACTGAGGCTGCGTTCTTATGACAAAACCTTAATTCACACGTCAGCCCAAAGCTCACTTACAATAGGTCCCCACTGCCATCCTGAACATTTGTCTCTTCCAGCTTCTGCCAAGGCAGGAGATTAACTCAGAAGTGCAACTACAATCTTGCCTATCTCTATTTGCTCCCCAACTCAATTTCCAAACCTTTTGCATTGTCTCTCAGCCACTCTAATCTCTGCAAATGTCTCCAAATCAATCCAAGTGGTTTCAGCAATCCCTCCTGCCAAACAGCTCTGTTACAAGTACAAAGTTTTACCTTAGTTCTTACCCTGCTCCCCAGCCACCCTCCCCACCTTGACACCCAGCTTACCAGGGTGAAAGGGGAGCTGAGAAGAGCGAGCATCATGTTGGTCACAGAAATGTTGACAACGAAGAGGCCACTGGCTGTGTGCACCCTCTTGTACTTCATAATTACGCGGTTTAAGACCCAGTTGCCTAGGATAGCAGCAAAGACCACTATGGTGTATCCTATCACTAGCCAGAAGTGTACCTGCTCGTCCTGGAACACTATTTCTGAAGTTAGAGGACCCGACAGGTCGTCCGGGTCACCCATGTCTGACACGTGGTCTGGCAGCTTATCCATCATGGAGAGCACGCTATCTCGGCCAGCTCGACCAATCGCAGATGCGGCACTGCACATGGCTTGCAGCACCTGGGAGGTGGTGGTGGTGATCAGGTCATCAAAGCCGCTAGGCACACTCAGAGCTTCAGGGGTCAGCTCGTCTCCATAGTTCATGGTGCCAGAGTCTGTAAATGCCCTTTGGGGCGAATCTATGGTAGGGGCCTCCAGATTGATGCCTTTGATGGACCCTCAGGTCCTTAAGCTATTAAGTCTGGGATTGCCTGGGGAAGTGCAATGGGTAGATGAGGCCCTCAATGAAGAGCTAGGCAAGCTCAGCTCAGTGAGCTGGAGCGCTGAGCTAAGATATTCTCTATAGTGGAAGTGGGGAAGGGGGAAGAAGCGCTGTGAACCAGCAAGAAGAAATGAAGTGGGCAAATGCGTAGAGCTGAGCAGGGCAGCTGAATTTGGGATGGGCGAACGCTGCTGACTCCAAATGCTCCGCCTGTTTGGAGAGCGCACGCAGTGCCTATTCTGACCTCGAGACCTCCAGCGTTGCTTCTCCTCTGCGTAGTGCCGGGTCTCTCCGACTCAATTTCTCTTGCCTTCAATCAGTCGGTAAATCTGGAGGTCCAAGTCCAGCTGACGCTGTGAGCAGGGCGGAGCCATGCGCTGCCACTAGCAGCCCCAGCCTGTGCCTGCCGCGCTTTCTGCAGCAGCTCTTTATAGAAAATCTAAGGGCCCACGCGGGAGCCAATAGGGAGCCCTGGCTGAACCCCCGCCCTATCTATCCAGACTGCGGCCCCAGAGCCATTGACAAAATCTTTACTGGTCCAGTCTCACAGCCTCTACGTTTGCTGCTTTTCTTTGGCTCGTCCTGCATTCAGCGCCCCCTCCCCAATCTGCTTTCACCAACTCCCCTTCCCTTACTCTGGATTTCTTTTCTGCACCAGCTCCCAAAGCACTGACTAAGAGCTGTGGCTCAGAGAACTGAGAGGGGGCTGTGGAGGATGTGGAGGCTGTGGTTTCGATTGAACAGACCATCCGCCTGCTGTATGCTTCACCGCGGTACCAGCAACCCAGGCAGCCTTTGGGGAAAAGTGGCTCCCTGGAAAGGCTTGCATAAATGTGATTTCGCAGAGACAGTGAGATGGGGCAGTTGGAGAATCTGGAAGGAACACTCAAGGAGTGCTTGAGAGCCCGAGTGAGGGTGGCCTGGAAGAAAGTAAGCTGAGCAAATGTTGTGCTTTCTCTAACCCCCCAGAAAACCTCAGAAAACCAGAGTTCTACATCTGGCCATAGGAAACACGACAATGAGGAAGTACCACATTGGAATCTGGATTGTGGCAGGTTAGTTTGCAGGTGCATCACCAAGGAGGGTTTAGGATTTGGGAAGTTTCTGTAAATTGATGCTGACGGAGTTCAAAGCAGCAGCAGCAGAGAGGAAGACTGAATTCAGCCATCGTAGTTGCAATGGAAAAGAGGCTAGGGATGTTGTTCCCAGATACCTCTTGCTGTAGCATTTTAAAGTTAACTCTCAGAGGGGTCTGGAGGCATTTAAGCCACAACTTGAGCAACTGATCTGCCTCTGTAGAGGTCCTAGAAGGGAACTCAGTGGCGACCTGAGTCAGAGTTAGAGTGTACTTTGCTTCTTATCACTCACTAATTTACAAACAGAGAAACTGAGGCTTGGGAAAGAGAATGAAAGTAAGATCATAGAAAAATTAGCTGAAGCACCAACACTAGAGGTGAGAAATGAAAAGTGGCAGGTCAAAATGTTTTGCTATACAGCAAGCTGTCACTCTGTGAAATACTGTTGCTTGTTTCATCTAGTCCCATAGCATCCTAGCTAGCTTCTACTTCCCAGGGCTGTGGAGGATAGTAGCTGCATCCTTTTATTCCCCTTGATGTCAATAATATAAATAACTAGTTATTAAGGAATAAACAGAAATTAATTTATCACATCATTGCCATCGTCAGTATCAATCACCATTGTCATTATCACTATCTAGGCATGAAGATCACAAAGCAACCATGAAGGAACAGGCAAACTTCTGTGTGTGTACCTGTGTACGCGTGCATGCATGTGCATATATGCACATGTGTACACACCCTGGTGATGTCTTGCTGCTTATAGATTATGAAACTAGGAGTTGAAACAGAGATCTAAGGATGTTGTAACCAGCTAATTGAGGGTGTAGGGAGATGGTGACTGGCAGGCTAACAATGCATAGGTAATTACAAAATATAAACCCTGTTTTTCTGGATGAAAATTAATCCTTCTGAATATAAGCCTAGGCTTGAAGAAATTATATGGTTACTTGATAGCTTCTTTTAAAAAATAAGAAAGGACAAAAAAGAGGAAAGATACAGGAAAAACAAACTATTTTTCTTGGCTGAGCAATCTGAGACACAGGAGCAAACACATTTGAAGGACTTTAATAAGTATTGACTCAATCACACAGCTCCGTCTGTGTCTAGATCGCAAGATCTCAGGTGACTCATGGGTTTTGAGGACTTGTGGGTCAAGAAGAACTTACATGTTCACCAGGACATGGTATTCAGAAACAGAAATAGCAGCGAATGCTAGTGTGATGCAAGGTACATCATTTCTCTCTTCGTGGAATCCAGCCTTGCAATATTGTTTTATGGAACATTCACTTGTCCTCTGAGATCCAACCCACTTTTGAAAGTTATAGGAACTTGACTCAGAGAGGACAAAGAGGGTAAAAGACTACAGTTAAACTTAGCAACCTTGACCTGCGTGTCCATGTTTGATGCTCCCACATAGGCCCCCTGCACTGTGCTTTATTTAAATTTTAGAAAAATCTTGTCTTTGACTACCTGTTAACAAACTCTTCATTTGTTACTACATGTTAATTCCTTTTGGGCTCTTAGGAAGCCAGCTTAAGATAAAGCACAGAGAAGGTCCCCTGGATACTCATTGATGTATGCTGACAAACATCTGGAAACTGTCATAGAAGGATCAACTGGAGATCAGTGATTCTTAGCCTGATTCAGTATCTGCTGTAGGATGGAGCTGTATACTAGATACAATGCTGGGCAAGAGCATGCTAGGGATTGAAAAAATTAGAACTCAGCCATCTCTTTTCTTGAGCAGCTAACAATTGAACCAAAGAGAAGAACCCCAAACCAGGAAATAATTTAATTCCAGGCAGGCATAAAATGTGCAGTTATACAGGAGCAAATAGGAGCAAATACTACAGGTTGAGGGCAGAGAAGGCTTTGCAGAGCAGCTGGCATTTGAGCTAGGGGTTGAAGAGTCAGGACGGAATTAGGCAGAGGAAAGACAAGGAGAGATTTCATGTGGATACAATGTGGGTCAAGCTACAAATAACCTATAAGTTTATAAGCATTGCTGTTTAGCTAATATTGATCCAATAGGGAAGTGAGCCAAACAGCAAGTGTATATGGATAACATCATTAACCTTGGCTTATCTATGACTTCTAAACTTGGAACATTTTGGGAAGGGATGGGTCCATCTTCAGAGACCACCTAAACCAGCCTACCAGGGTTTAAAGATGGCTGCTTATTGGAGCAAGAAATCTTAGACTTCTGCTGTTTTCCCACACTCTTTCTTTCTCCTCAGTTCTCCATCTCCATTAAACTTTAATTCAGGAAATGACTGTATGTCACTTAATATGTTAGTGTTCATTGAGTTAGTTATATTTGTGCTCCTACAGGATTTAAATCACAAAACTAAAAGAAAGCTGGCAGAGAACAAGTTCTAATCCTGCCTTTTCACACGTGGAGACAGAAAGACCAAGAAAGGGAAGAGCTATAGCCAAAGAGGATGTGTCAGGCCTAGAGCCCCGGTTTCCTAATTGCTATCTGCTTCAGAGCTCTTCTCCCTGTCTCAAGTTTTCCCAATTTGCTATGCTTGTGACGGTGGGATCTATTTCATTATTATACCTTATTTCCCCCTCCTTGAAAAGAGAGAACAGTTTGTAGGTGGGCACTATGCATCTCTCCTTGTTATAAGTAGGACTTCAAGAAAAGTAAGAAGAAACAAAAAAAATAATGCTCTATCTTAGCTGTCTAATTATGAAATCTGAAATCTGGGAAGTTCATGAAAGCCATCCTATAAACCTGCACACTTCTTTCATCCTGAGAACAGAGTATTCCAAACTTTGTCTTTTCAGAGTCAAAAGTTGTGAGTAGTGGCCTCACTATATCCCTGGAAACAGGACCACTTTAATGATAAGCCTTAGAAAGGAAGAAATATAAGAAAATGAGGATAAGTGCTAACAATTTAGCAAGCAAACTGTCTCCCTTCTCCTTAAAAGTGAGCTCCACATTAGTTGCCAAACTTTCCAATAAATTTGTATCCACTATTTATGAGACACCATTTAAGTATATAGATATAACAATGAACAAGGCAGATGAAATCTATCATCATGAAATTTACATTCCAGAAAGGGAAGAATCACATAGATAAGGGAATAGATAAGCACAATATCTTATTATAGTAAATGTTATAAAGAATTTATACTAAAGTGACAAGGAGACAGTGGCTGGTGTGTGTATTGCCCATCAGAGTGGATGAACTAGGCTACTCTGGGAAGGTAATATTTGGGCTGAGACCTAAGAGATGAGGATGAACTTCATCAAGCAAAAACGGAAAGTGAAGTGGAGGTATTCTGGGTGGAAGGAACAAGTATATAAACCCTGAGATAGGAACAAGTTTGGAGTGTTCAATAAATTGAAAAAGCCAGTAGAGGGACAGAAGATAATAAGCAAAAAGAAAGTCATTTGAGGGCTGGGGATGTAGCTGAGCGGTTCGGTGGCCTGCCTCACAAGCACAAGGACCCGAGTTCGATCCCCGGTACCAAAGAAAAGAAAAGAAAGTAGTTTGAGAGAGTTCTTCTTATCTTCAAAAAGAATGTAGTAATACCTTTAACAGTGCAGAGCATTTTACAGTCCTTTCAGTAATTTCTTAATCTTTATGTCATTTGATGCGAACAGTAAACTTGCACGTATGTAAAGTTATTACCGTTTTACCCATAGGGAAAGTAAGGCTCAAACTGTGAGTGAGATGTACTTATTCACAAGTCAGGCTTACTAAAATGTAAGTTATATTTACCTATTTATATTTTGCGTTCCAGTCCCATATTCTGTTTTTGTTGTTTTCCATATTCTGTTTTTCAATGTATCCTGATATACTGCATATCCCCTTCCCCTCCTCAGTGGTTTATAATTTTGCAGCATTTTTCTCCCTAAGTCTGGCCAACTGACAAGTATGTGGGGCCTGGGAGCTTGAAGAGGTCCAGAAGGCATAAAGTGCAGCCACATATTTCTGCATTGGCTTATTGTGTATGTTATTGGGATTTAAACCCTGACGGTGCCGGTGGACCTTACCAATGCAGGTAGGTTACTAACCACCAAGACAAGTGAGGGAATTTGGGCTGAAAAAATACGGTTATGAATTATGGCAGCATTCAGCAATGCTGTGAGGAGAAAATACTGTGCCTGGCAGGGAAATTTTGTCATTGAAAGTATATTATTTCAAATAACTTTAATGATATAATTCATATTCTTCTCACAAGAGTTCATCAAATAGCCATCTGCTCATCATCTTCTTTTAGCTGATGAATAGAGATTTAAGCAAGTTATTATATTTCTGCATTTTGAAAAGTCAGTGTTGACCAAACTAATTCATATTGGGAACATTCACCCTCCTCTTTCACATTGCTGATCTTGATGTCTCTCGTATAATGAAAAGAACATTAGTCTCTACTGCCAAGAGAAGAGGGCTTTCGGTTCACTCTCAGTATCTTTTTCCCTGTA